GAATCTTGCTTAATATTTGGTCACATTTCTGAATTTGCCACTGGTCGGCCATTTTGAATATTAATGTGATGACGTCACAAGGTACTATAAATACTGCGCGTTAGCATATCGTTGTCATCTCATATCAGGTCGTCTGGTAGAAAAGTACTATATTGAGTAGATAATTGTAGACGATTAAATAACCGAAAATGGATCGGATACAGGTGAAATTCACTTGTTGTTATTGTAATACAGTTATAATTACTTTGCCAGTGTAGAGAATGGATTGTTCCAGAAATGGTTCATACCAAATCTGGTATAATACCCAATCCGGTATAGTACCCAATCTGGTAACTACCAGATCTGGTATCTCATTATATTGTACCAAACCTGGTACTTGTTTACTGAAATCTGGTCATCTATAGAAATAATAATAATAGACTTTAGGCATCCATGACTATGTATTATATTTAAATAAATTGATCTATATAATATTCTAATTAAAAGAGTTTTAAGTTACAAATTGTCTTATGTGTTCATTTATAATTTGGTACTTGGGCCGTGTAAAACGAACCCTGGGTTAATGTGAGGCTGCAGACTGCCCTGGAAACACTAAGCAGGGGTCTGGGCACCACAATATAATGTGATGCCGTTGTATTATGTGGTCGTTTTGCACACATTTGTACGTTTTTTAACCAAAATTAGGCAAAAGTGGTGCCCCATCGTCAAACTGTACAGAAGTGTTTGCATAAACGGAAATGAATTGCACCGTTTGTGTGTAATATGTTGAAAGAGTACATATGTGGGCACCAGTCTCACTAAGTATTTTCTGTAAAACATTAAAACATAAAACAAAATTTAGCCATATACTTACCGACAACAGCAAACCGCCATATTTAATCTACCGCTTCTGCGATGAATACTCCACTGCCGCTGTGATGGACCCACCGCTTCTGCGAAAGCTATGGCCAGTGTGAAACTGGATCTAAATAATTAAACACCATGCTATTTTAGTAACGTATATAAATCATGCTAAACAAATGTTACAGATAATGTTTTCCTACGTAGGTTTTAAAAGTTTATGAATTAAGATACTCAGACGTCATCAAAAATTACTTATGACACTTTTATTCATGACGCCATGAAGATATTTTTCTGTCATGTTTCCTTTGAAATATTTTTAATGTATAGATTGGGAATTCCATGTCAATCCCAAATTCAAACAGTGTGATATAACTTGTATCTAACTGTTTTTCTTGTGTTTTATATATTTAAAACATAAAACAATAAATAACTAAATGGCATTTGTTTAAAATATAAATATTTATATAAGCCTATATTCATACGCATACGACAAATCATCCAGAATCCAAATGTTAAGGACTGTCTTGACCGTTAGACAATTATATGGGATTTATTCAATAATAGTGAGTGTAATTTTCGATTCTGAATATGTGGCATAGACGTGTACCTAGTCTACCGTGACTGAATAACATTTGAAAACCATTTATGATTTTGTAGGCCAACTGGACACAGACACTTGGGGTTAGGTGCGGGGCTCCCCTTCTTGATCCGCACTTGTATACACCATGTCTATTTTTATCTTACAAACCGTACATCAAGATGTTTTTGCATATTTTAACAACCAGGTCACATGTCTTGAATATCAAACATGTTTTCGCTATTTTGACAACGTTTAAAAAAGTCCCTAAAATATCATAATTTCATAAAGATAACAACGTACAATTTTCATTGATGTGAGAAGACTGGGATGAGTTTCAGCACTGTTTTGCGCTTTCATTTCAATGCCGAGAACAGGCAGACATAATGCTATAACGAATAAAACACGTGCATTTTTATACGCCGAATCATCACATCGGGAGGAATTTCATCAAGCCAGTTTGATAACCACGTGAAATTATAAAGAAACGTAATTCAAGTAAAATGATATTTAAACAATGAATGTAATACGGAAGCATCCCGGTGCCAATTTAACATGTTCTATAAAAATGATAACTCCTACGTAGTAAAAACCTAATTAAGAGTTTTAAAGTCCTACGTAGGACTTACAAACTCCTACGTATTTCAGTATAGATGAATAAAAATCGATATAGACCTGTAAATTCAAATAGCGTAGTGGTTAGAATGCTCAGATTTTGAAGACCCAAGGTTTTAAAAATGTGTGTGTGTGTGCATCCCCCCCCCCCGAGTTCCAATCTGCAATTGTGCACATTTATTGAGTATAACTTTAGTGCCCACCGTACCGTTCATGTATATCCAGGAACGCTGGAATGTGCAAATAATGCAGGAATTGTGCAAAAGTAACGCATAATTGTGCAATAAAGTGGCGACTAAAAGGAGCACCGCGATAAGTAAATGGACAAGTTTTTATTTTTTTTTATTTTACATTGACAAAATGTTTATTTTACACTTGTAGGCATGAGAAATGGCATCGACAAATGAAGATATTGTTGGAAACGAGGCAAGTTTGACGTATACACGTGAAGAAGAAACACGTGATGCTGAGAGACATGTTGCTTTTAATTTCCAGAAAAAAGATAACATGCGTTATCCGCCAGAGCAAAATGACACCCCGTCTGTATTTACTTTAAGAAAAACGATTTACTACACTGACTTTTTCCAATGTTCTCAAGATAAAACTGATTATGGACACGGATCAGATTCTGCCGAGGAAGAATCGAGTCCATATAGCTCTACAAATAATCTAAAGTATGAAGAAATGGCACCTTCTGGAAAAACAAACACAAATAGTTCAAGACAACAAAGGCTTCTAATGTCTTCTTGCCAAATGGACGAACAACTTGTAGAACAAAGTTCTTTGTTTTTTGAAAAAGTCAGTGTAGTGCAGCATATGACCGGACCAAATGTACAAGAAGACAATACAACAGCATGTGGGACTCTCGCATTATCTGGAAAAAGATATAATTCGATATTATTACCAAGGCTTGAAGTCCTATCAGTTAAAAATGTAGTGATGCCTGAGAATTACCACATGCGGTGGCTACCTTTCGTGAAAATAAGGTAGGCTGGCCACATAATAACCCTTCTGCAGAAGACATGGCCATTGCTGGATTTATTTTCAGAGGTATGTACATCATAATATTTCAGTAATTTTAAAAGTAATTGAAAGCAAATGTAATAATTAAAAGACCTTAATAAAGTAAATCCGGTTTAACGTTTAGCGTGGTACGTGATACACATACAAAAAACTGATACGTTTTTATAAATCAAATTACACGTTGGAAAATTTTTTATTACCGTCTTACCAATATAAATATTTGAGTACTTAACTACTAGCAACACTTAATAGGGTCAATTAGTTGCTGGTCCTTTTTTATAAAATGGTGGTATTGTGCTCTAAATGATTTTTTCCAAAATATCCAACAACAGCTTTATTGATTTCACTATATTAGTAATTTAAAGATGAAAGTAACATAAACGTACCGATTCTTAATTTTATTAAATTCAAAGCAGAAAGGAATAAAATTTAATATGTTAGATACTTAAAGTCTGTATAACATTAGATATTAGATATTATTTCTTTTATATTGTCAACAACAAGAAGCCGCAACATTTCTATTTAGAAATGAGTGTAGATATTATGATCGAAATACAACTGCTAGTATGTTAGCAAAATTATATCATGATTCGTGAGACGTAAGAAAAAATCTATAGTTTTCAGAAAAACATTTCCAACATTATTTTTTATGAAACCAGTTGTAAGTATGACGTTGTCAATTTAGGCGTGTTTACTGAAAATGGTTCGACAGTCTGTGATATGGTCGAGTGTGACAAATGTGGAGGGACACTCTATGGATTTGAGAAAGGAGACGATCCCATTGCAGAACATGAAAGATTATATCCGCAGTGTAAATGAAGTAAGCAATAAACAGATGTTTTATAACTGTTAAAGCGTGAAGTGCTATATCCGATTAGACTAGTGGTTTTGTTTCAACATTTCATATTGATGTAAATATGCATTTTAATTCACTTTTTGTAAAGGTACATAAACATTTATATACAAATAGACTTCATTTTCAAATAAACCTTACATAACTGACTTTTAATTTTTACATACATTACAGACAGAAAGTTAAACGTTTAAAGTTTTACTTTTAGAGTGCCTATATAATAAATTCTATCAAATTGATTTTCAAACGGATTTGCAACACATTATAAGACATAAATAACTTTTCTTTTCAGAGATATAACATTCAGAAGACCATCAGCGATTTTTGTAATGCTTTGATTCACATAGGAAATTATGACAGGACTATGTTTTTTTTCCTTAAGGGGGCAATGTCTATTTGATATAACTTCAACTTCTTCTAAAATACAAAAATAGGAGAATACCCCATACAGCACGCGTTAGTTGATAATCACCTGCTTAGGAGATCTTATATTAAAGGTACAAATAACCTTAAATCCATGTATGAAGTGAATGAAGATAGCCACTGATTGTTATTGTATTTAAGATTTATTTCCTACACAATGCAAACATTGACAGGTCACAGTTGAAAGTGTATTACAGTAACTAAGTGGTGAAGCTCTACGAATGCTTAAAGTGTTAATTCGTTGTGAATACTTACTAGGAATTAACAACTTCATATATTTGGAAACAGTGTTATAATTTCAAGAAGTAGCCTAGAATCGCTCGATTCCAACGATTTGCCTAAAATGATCTTCTTCACTTGACTCGGAAATTCACATTTTTTTGGTGACTTACAAAAATACTGATACGTTTAGAAGAATAGGGATTACATTTTAGATTAATGTTTATACTGAGTACTTTTAGATATTGTATTGTGACAACGTTAATAATGGCAAAAGCATAAGTGTATATAGTTATGTAAACAATTTTGTTTATAGAATTATCTACTTATCTTTTCAATGCCTGGCACTTTCCTTATCAGTACGTGTTAAGTATCACTAACTGAACTAGATCTTTAAATTTCTTTAATGCTATTTTCAATATGTCGTGTCAATTCAATGATACAAAGTTCAGGATGGATTGAATTGACAGTTTGATTCCTTTCTATTATTGTGACAAAGTATTGCAATATGTTGGTTTTTGAAAATATCATACGTTATAAACAATAGTATTCAGGTTTAAACCAAACTATTGAAAAACTGCCCCCCGCCCCATCCGTCAAATTGTACGTATTAATTAATTGTATAAATGGGAAGGAATTACACTCTCAGTGTATATACAACTCTGTATTAAACTGACAAATGGCTTCGAGAGATGGACCGGAAGCCTTATCCATCCAGCCCGATGGTCCCGCAGCTGCTTCATTTAGGAAAACTATGAACAAAACATAAAAAATACTAAGTACTAAGAAAAGTACTAAGCATTTGGGATTATGTTTGTATAAGATTGCTTTGTTTGCTTTCTCGAGGAGTTAATAATATTAGTTATATCAAATGTCCCTTTGAGAACCAATAACATTGTATTATATACATGTATAATCACGGCATATTATAGCATATTATTGTTTTATTGTTACAAATTGCGACAGTTTGGCTTACTTTTTATGTCATGGTTTTAACACAACAACTTAAACTTAACGAAAGAGTAAATGAATTTAGAGAATTTAGAGAAAAATAATCATTGATGTTAAAACAAAAATATAGGATTATGATTGCGACAATGACATCATGCTATTTTTCAAATCAGATTTAAAATTCAAAGAAGAAGGAAGTACCCAAGCATGTCAAAACAAATAACGGGATCACGTTACTACATTCCGATGATCTCTTAAATTTCTTTGTTATAATTGTATACATTATTTGTATAATTAGTTGCATAAAATGTATCAATGGATTTCAAAATGTGTTATTTCAAAAAAAAGAAATAATTATTTGATATCCAGCTGATCCAGATTTGCACAATATTGTTACATGTATCATGCGTGTTAAAACGAGGTTTTTGGTTTTGATAAAAATGTGATCATTTTTTTATCATAAAGTCAAGCTGTAAATTCCATGTTTTATTCTATTTCTGTGAAAAAGTACTTATCAAATCTATTGATAATTTGCTGCAATATTCCTTCAAATGTTAACATAATATTCATCATAAAAAGAAGTACCAGAAATTTGAAAAAAAAAAACAGTTTAGATAAAAGAACTCAATAACTCTTTACCTTAAAATATCTTTATTACAATCTTTTATTTCTTTGTCTTTACTAGTAAAACAGAACAAAATAAACATTGATTATTTGCTCTATTTTAAATAATCCTATTTCAAGTGATATTGTTAGCACCATAAAAGTTGTAATTTACTTTGGTATAAATTTAACAGAGGTGTGAAGGTGTGAAAAGCAACAAAAGACTGTTGTGTTTTAAATGAAAGATGATTGCATTGTATTTATACAGTTAACTGGTTACTAAACAATAAGATATGACATGAATATGTGTGGTAAATATTGTTTGTAAAAAGTATGTTCAATCATTAAAGTTGTAAACATGTAATAGTAACTGTAAATAAAGTAAATGATATTTTTTGCTGAATAATGTTAGCAATTATTTTGTTTGACACTGTATATTTATCCAAACCTTGATGAATATATAAAAGTAATGGTACTGGTACTGGACACTGTTATACTGTCTTATAATGCAAAACAACTCCAGGATTTGTTGAATACTGTGAACATTGGAAATTGAATATAAACATTGACAAAACAAAAGTAATAGTATTTGGAAATAGAAATAACAACTTCACTTAGGCAATTCAAGTTTAGAAATAGTAAATAACTACAAATACCTGGGAACACTGCTAAATCAGGAAGCTTTTTAAATACAAGAAAACATCTAGCACAGCAAGCCAAAAAGCACCTCATTTACTTTATAAAAGAATTTATAACCTTAACCTCCCAATAGACCATTTTTCAAACTGTTTGACCATACAGTATTACCAATTTTAACCCATTCATGTGAAATTTGGGGATATGAAAACTGTAACTTACTCGAAAAAATTCACACTGAATTTAAAAGTAAAATTCTACATCTTAGAAAATGTACCCCATTGTATATGCTGTATGCAGAGTCTGGTAGATATCCTTTGGAAAGAACAATAAAATATAAAATGATAGGTTTCTGGAATAGATTAATTACTGGAAACCAAAACAAAATTGCATACAGGTTATATCAGTATATTTACAACTCCAGTTTTAATTCAAAATGGCTTAATAAGATGAAATCAATTTTAGTTGAATCAGGACATAATGACTTTTGGATAAATCAAAACCAGATTGAAGATAAAAATATCAAAACTATCATAAAACAAACTCTTCTAGACCAAAACATCAAAAATTGGCATGCATCTCTAAATAACTATTCACTAATTAAAAGCAATTTAAATTTGGACAACCACCTTCTTAAACTTAACAAACAAGACTTCATTACCTTAATAAATTTTAGGACAGGCAACCATCATTTCCCTATAGAAACTGGAAGATGGAGAAAGTGCTTGCACTGTGACCTAAATGACATAGGCGATGAATATCATTATTTGTTAAAATGTCCGTTCTTTGAGCAAAACAGGAAAAACTTAATCAAATAGTATTACTATCGAAGACCAAACATGCTAAAATTCAAAGAATTTTTGACAAATACCTCCATAAATATGCTGCAAAGAACATGTAAATTTATGAGAATACTTTTAAATGAAATTAAATAAATTAAAATCGCATCTAAAAATAATAAATACATAAACAAACAAATAAATATATATAAACTAGAACTCCGCGAGTCGGATGTGTCGCCTTGTGAACAATGTAGTTTAGGGGAAATGGCCAGGAGAAAAATGAAATATGAAAAATAACAAAGGGCAATAACTAAAAAAATAATAAGTGCAGAGCATCAGTTTCTGTACACTGCACTTCTTATCAATAAGATCTATCATTCTATGATGTTTCAAGTCCATAGCTTTCATACTTGAAGAAAAATGACCAGGACAAAAATAAAGTAAGAAAAGCAACAAAGGGCAATAACTCAAAAATAAGAAATGCTGAGTATCAGTTCTTATGCACTGCACTTCTTTTTAATGAGATCTATCATCCTATGAAGTTTCAAGTCTATAATTTTTATACTTTCAGAGAAATGGCCTGGACAAAAATTAAGTATGAAAATAAACAAAGGGCAATAACTCAAAAAATAAGAAATGCAGAGTACCAGTTCTTGTGCACTGCACTTCTTCTTACTGAGACCTATCATCCTATGAAGTTTCAAGTCCATGGCTTTTATACATTAGGAGAAATGGCCCAGACAAAAATAAAGTATGAAAATTAACAAAGGGCAATAACTCAAAAATTAGGAAGTGCACAGTACTAGTTCTTGTGCACTGCATTTTTTCTTAATGAGATCTATCATCCTATGAAGTTTCAAGTCCATAGCTTTTTTAGTTGAAGAGAAATGGCCCGGACAAAATTAAAGTATGAAAATTAACAAAGGGCAATAACTCAAAAAATAAGAACAGCAGAGTACCGGTCCTTGTGCACTGCACTTCGGGTTATTGAAAGAAGCATGCATACCAAGTTTGAAGTCAATCAGACTTATAGTGACTGAGTTATGCTCCGGACAAGCTTAAGCGGACGCCGACACCGACGCCGACAACGACAACGACGCCGACACAGACGCCGCCGCCGCCGACACCGCCGACGAAAGTAACCCCTATATGTCACCTTTTCAAGGCGACACAAAAAGGTAAAACAAATAATTAAATGAAAAATAACTTAGATACTGAGTACATTCCTTGGTACTGTAAGATATAGACATAAATAAATGGTAAAATAAGCAAATATATCAAATTTATTTTTGTTAGAATCTTCAAATTTGTGCTTCATCCATGTTCCAACATTTACTAAATATATAAACATGATAGTAGAGTCCAATGATTAGCCAATATTTGAAATACTGCTTTCCTTGCAAAATGTACAAGTTTAGAAAATGAACTTTCTCACCTTAAAACACGTGCAAAGTAAATCCATTCCTACTTCAATAATATTCCATTGAATAACAATATATTTTTGTTCACCTCCAACTTCCAACGTTAATTTAATTATTATTGAACTTTCAATACTTTGTACAAAAGAATTTTAACTGCACACTATCATTCAGTAATAACTTCCATTTTATGTATTGATTGACCTAAATTGTGTACAATTTTTTTAACGGGATCTCGCAACAGGGCCCGTATGTAAACAATGACGTTTTATTTAACATCTTCGCATTTCTATAGTCCGTTTCAAACTGGCATCGAGAAACGAATAATTGTTTGTGCGTGTGTATCTACCCCCCCCCCCCCTCAGGCGGTAGTTATTTGTTTGCTTTTTTTTTCACCTCTCATGATAATTATTAATTTTCTTCTTACAAATACCTTAAAAATAATATTGTACTGTGTGTAAGAATTTCTTAACTAAAATCATGTCATGTCTTAAAATGAACAAATATTCACTAATGTTATGTATACTCATGTGTTATATTATATGTAACTTGAGTTAATAAAGATATGTTCTGTTCTGGTACTAATACTTATTTACTTACCCCAAAAAAGTAATGGTACTGCAGTACCGAACTAAAATCTAGTACTGGTAATGGTACTGCATAACTTAGCAAGTACTGGTACTGGTACTTAAGTACTAGACCCTTGGTTCTGATGCAGCTCTGATTCCGAACTCCCCTGGTCAACTAGCTGTCAAGCTTTTTATACAATAATTATGTCAACATAGTTAATATATTGTTTCATCATAATATGCATGTACATACTTGGAGTTATATATAGAACTGTTATCAATCACCCTTGACATATTTAAACCACCCAATGTGCATTTTGCACCTATATTGTAAAATAACATAATTATATAAATCATGTCATGTTTAATGTTCTTATTATGTAGTAAGTACATGACTGTGTACATGTGTTCATGTATATGCACCAAAACTGTGTTGGTCATTCATTTGAATTATATAAAATATGTATGACGAATTAACCTAAAAGTGCATAATTCAACACTTAAAAATTTTGTAATCAATCTTGTTATTCTATTAAAATAAATTTAAAATAAATTATAACTTTATTTTAACCCTTCTATTTTCCTTTCTTTTATCGGATTTCATGCAGTAGCAAAGAGATAGCTGTCGTTACTTCCTGTTTATCAAAATTAAACAATGTGTATGAAAGGAATGTAAAAAAATTGGTTATCACTCTACAATCAAAAGCTAAAAAAATCATAGAAAAGAAACAACATTTATTGAGACTTGCCCTAAAAATGACTAGCTGGTCAAAATTCCCACTTAGTGCTGTAATGCTGTACATGATTTGAAATTTCAACTACAAAACATTTGATATTCTATTCTTTCCGTATACTTTGAAAGAAAAACAAATATTCGTAGATTTATTTAGATAGATTTGCTCTCATCGTTGACAAAGAAAGAGATAAAACTCATGTCAATAAGTACTCCTATGAGTCGGAATTCCATGCTATTTTGAAACGCACTTTTATGCAAACCAGGAGATACTACATTAAAGCTCTGATAAAGTAGAAAAGCAAACATGTCCTTTATATCAAAATATAATGTTTAAAGAAATACATAAAGATATTCATGTTTCATTCGTTGGTCATCAAAACCTGAAAATTTACAACTAAATTTGATTTTAAAATTTGATTATGAAGCAAATCCCTCCTTGCGCCACCGCCCTCAAACTAATGAACAAAAACGTAAATTTCTTCATGTAAATGAGATGCAGAACTTGATTATAGATGTATAGTAATTAAAGTGTAATAACTGGTAAAATCACCGTAAAAAATCCTATAATTAATCATCTGTGTTTTGAACATATACTGTATTTTTTGCCATTCATAAAAAAATAAACGTTTATTTGGGTGACTTAAAATAATAGATATAGACAGATGTATCCCGCAAAAAAAGATATATTACTCACAAAATATATATAATTGATATAATTCACCAAAATAGATATAATTGATATATTTCGCCAAAATAGATATAATTGATATAATTCACTAAATAAGATATAAGAGGGCCATCATGGCCCTAGATCGCTCCCCTGACCCATCAACCGCATCCAAGCAATGTCTAAGACAAGCAATCATGCCAAGTTTGATGGCAATTGAGTCAAAAATGTGACCTCTTGTGTGTTAAAATGTTTTTTCCATATTTGGGCAGTGTGACCTAGTTTTGGACCGGAGATAATCCATATTAAAACTTGACCTAGAAATCATCAGAACATCCTGCCTGACAAATTTCCAGAATATTTCGATCAAAACTGCAGCCACTAGAATGTTAACAAGATTTTTCTATTTTTAGCTCCTGTGACCTAGTTTTTGACCGGTGATGACATATCATCAAACTTTAGCTAAAAATCGTCAAAACAACCTTCTTGACAAATTTCCAGAATATTTGGATCAAAACTGCAGCCACAAGAGTGTTAACAAGATTTTTCTATTTTAGCTCCTGTGACATAGTTTTTGACCGGAGATGACCCATCATCGAACTTGACCTAGAAATCATCAAAACAGCTTTCTTCACAATTTTCCAGAATATTTGGATCAAAACTGCAGCCACTAGAGTGTTCACACGCTTTTTCTATTTTTAGCTCCTGTGACCTAGTTTTTGACCGAAGATGACCTATATTCGAACTTCATCTAGAAATCATCAACCTACCTTTCTGACCGATTTCCAGGATATTTGGATCCCATCTTCGAACTTGACGTAGAAGTCTTGAAAACAACCTTCTTGACAAATTTCCAGTATATTTGCATCAAAACTGCAGCCACTATAAGGTTAACATGCTTTTTCTATTTTTAGATCCTGTGACCTAGTTTTTGACCGGAGATTACCCATCTTCGAACTTGGTCTAGAAATCAACAAAACAAAGTTCCAGAATATTTGGATCAAAACTTCAGCCACTAAATTGTTAACAAGATTTTTTTAGCTCACCTGAGCATATGCTCAGGGTGAGCTATATGGAGCACTCTTCGTCCGTCGTACGTCGTCCGTTGTCCGTTCTTTTAAAACGACATCTCCTCTGAAACCATAAGGCAGATCATAATGAAACTTCACAGAGATTTTTCTTTTGTGAAGCCTTAACAAAGTTGTTCAGAGAATTCCATTCCATGCAGAACTATGGTTGCCATGTCAACCAAAAGAAAAAAACTTTTTCTTCAAAAAATCCAAAAGAGCTAGAGCTTAGATATTTGGTATGAAACATCTTCTAGTGGGTATCTACCAAGTTTGTTCAAATAAAAGCCTTGGGGGTCAAAATTGGCCTCGCCCCGGGGGTCATTCATTTTCCTTATATGTGTATAACAAAAACTTAAAAAATCTTCTTTGAAAAAACTCAAATAGCTAGAGTATAGATATTAAGCACGAAGCATCTTCTAGCGAGTGTCTACTAAGTTTGTTCAAATAAAAGCACTGGGGCCAAAATTGGCCCCGCCCCAGGGGACAATGATTTCCCTTTATGTGTATAGCAAAAACTTAAAAATCTTCTTTGAAAAAACCCAAATAGCTAGAGTTGAGATATTAAGCATGAGACATCTTCTAGTAAGTGTCTACAAAGTTTGTTCAAATAAAAGCCCTGGGGTTAAAATTGGCCCCACCCCAGGGGACATTGATTTTCCTTATATGTGTATAGCAAAAACTTAAAATTCTTCTCCAAAAATCCGAATAGCTAGAGTTTGGATATTAAGCATGAAACATTTTCTA